ACTACTGTACACAATACGTGCCAGCACAAGATGAAAATGTGCACAATCCAGCATTCCAGGTCTGATCTTCTTCTTTGTTGTACAGTCAGACCTCGCTTAACCGCACACATCCGTTCTCCACAAAATATCCGGATAGGCGAGGGAACCGGATAATTGAACACACATACTGTATGTATGCATGGCATATGCCGTAAATCGGTAACCAACGATTTTCTTCCGGATGGCGAGGGATCCGGATAAAAGAGGACCGGATAAGCGAGGTCTGACTGTACATCGTACTGCACTTGAACGACTTGATCTGATTCCCGCCCCCTGCCGAAAAACCAGCTGGGAAGCGACACGGCGTGGGGGGGGGGGGGGGGGGATCAACGGTACTTTACGGGAACTCTGAAAGTGATAATGCTCACGCACATAGAAACGAAGCGAATCCTGCAGTCATGTGCCAGTGATGTACTGCTGGGCACAGGCTGTTAGGTAGGACAACCACACATTGTTAATTTGGTTCAGTTGTAGTCTATTGTTATCACAATGCATACCACGCTGATCACACCTCTTCACACGTGTCGCTAATCTACCTTCTGCTGCTTATATCACCTATAGGCTATGCATTGTTATCACCTATAGGCTATGCATTGTTATCACCTATAGGCTATGCATTGTTATCACCTATAGGCTATGCATTGTTATCACCTATAGGCTATGCATTGTTATCACCTATAGGCTATGCATTGTTATCACCTATAGGCTATGCATTGTTATCACCTATAGGCTATGCATTGTTATCACCTATAGGCTATGCATTGTTATCACCTATAGGCTATGCATTGTTATCACCTATAGGCTTGCATTGTTATCACCTATAGGCTATGCATTGTTATCACCTATAGGCTATGCATTGTTGAAAGAGTATTGTACTTGTTAGTTTCTTTTTCTTGTGCTTGTATCCACCTGAAGAGAAGGCAATGGAGTGCTTGTGGAAATTTTGAAATACTGATTGGAAAGAGCCTGCAGCTTGTGTTCTTCATTAATCTCTTTTAATCTCACTATGTGTACTTTTAATCTCACTATGTGTACTGATGTTTTAGGGCCTGGTCAGACTGCGGCAAAATCGAAATAACCCTAGGATTATAATCCGAATCTCCATAGTAACTTGCCGCCAGAGCGGCAAAAGCGAGAGTTGACGCTCCAAAAAAAAGCAAGAACGGGCCACGCTTTTCCGCTCCAAACAGGATTTGACGCTGATACGCCATTGACGCTGATAATCACTGATTTTTTCATCTCGATATCGAGGAGCTAATTGGCCACGGACAACAACAAAACTCATAAGGATGGTTGCAAGGATTGCACTGAAGGTGTTGGCGATCCCAAGGTGAAGGAATTTGACGTCGTTCGTGGAGATTACCACTTGACGCTCGAAATGAAGTTTGAATTTTCATTCTCCCCACATGTGTAGTGTGATCGCGATTCAAATTCTGGACGCTGTTCTTTTTTCGTCAGGCAACCAAAAGTTGCCGCAGTCTGACCAGGCCCTTAATCTCACTATGTGTACTGATGTTTTAATCTCACTATGTGTACTGATGTACTGATGTTTCATCTGTTTCAGAAGCTGTCCTTAGCTACATTACAGCTATGCGGTTTGATGTCTCAAGCCTGGTCTGGTAGACACTCTGAGCTGAACCCATCTGGTCTGCATTCGGCTGTTGGTGATGTGCATAACCAGTTCAAGAACTTCTTGCAGGTAAATTGGACGGGTACTTGGTCAGTTTGTTCAGGTTCACTCAAGTCGTGAGTACTAGATTATAGTAGTTAGTGCTTGAGGGACATATGCCTTGCCGTTGTCATATGGTAGTATGATCCAGAATAGAAAGATCAGTTTTCACCAGTTTGTCTTTGTGTGTGCGTGTACTTGTATGCATGTGAGAGTGCGCGTGTGCGCGCGCGCGTGTGTGTGTGTGTGTGTGTGTGTGTGTGTGTATGTGAGTGTACTTGTGTTTATATGTGCGTGTGTACATGCGTGTGTACGTACGTGTGTACGTGCGTGTGTACGTGTGTGTACGTATGTGTGTGTGTGGGGGGGGGGGGGGGGGGTGTCGACCCTTTTTCTGCACCCTTTCCTCACCCACTTACTGAGTTGTGGTGAGCCTAGAAGTGGGTTCATTTCCAAGTTCACTCAGAGTCAGGGGTGTCGAGCATTATGATATTCCCAAGATTCCTTTTGAGTCTCTCTCTCCCCTCTCCCGGGGAGACCCATGTGACCAGTTTCTGGCCGTGAGTAAGTACAAGTATACTTGACAAGTGTGTGTGTGTGTGTGTGTGTGTGTGCATGCGTGCGTGCGTGTGTGTGCATGTGTGTGCATGTGTGTGTTTGTGTGTTTGTTTGTTGTGCCTCAGCATGACAGCCAGGAGCTATTGACATTCCTACTGAATAGTGTCCATGAAGATATCCAGAATCAGACAAAGGTGATGAAAAGCAAGCAACGCACCTCCTCTTCCAACCTTAGTTGCGGACCTATGCAGTTTGAGCGGGAGACAAAGTCTGTTGCAGAGCCAACCCCAGCTACTTCAAGCTGCTGTGATGTTGGTCACGTATCTCGCTTCAAGTCACAACTTTCCAGTTGTAGGGAGCATGATGCATGTAGTAGTGATGAAGTTCACAATCCTGCCACTGCTCGTCTGGTCTCTGGTAGGGATGCTGCTGGTGTTGCAGCATCTGATGTCAAGTTTGCACCACCGAGCTTTTCCGAAGATGCAAATGTGGTGCAGGTCAAAGCTCTCCGTCGTTCATCTCCTAAACAAGGTGGACTAGACGCATCATCTCCCAAAGTTCCATGCATATCGGAAGATGATAGTCCTCCAACGTTCTGTTCCTCTGCTCATGCTGCTGCTGGCTTAGTTCAACCTGCTCCTGTCAATGTTAGGACGAAAGCTACTGTGGAACGACTGGCTGTCTGTCAAGATCAGCACACGGCAGCGCGCTCATCCCTTGAAAGCACTGATGATGATGATGGTGATGATGATGATGATGATGATGATGACAGACAAGTGTCCCCTGCTTGCTCTCTGCCATCTGAGCAGTATTATGCGAGTGATGCTGGTAGTGAGACTGAAGATTATGATGAACGCGGTAATGATACAACCAGTGGACACCATTGCACATCCGATAGTCTAACTGAGCACATGGAGGACTCTACCATGACCATAGCACTCTCTCATGAGTAAGTTGAAATCAGCATGTTGTTTTTGGCGGTAAAGGGTGTTTTTGGCGGAAAAGGGGTCCTGCTTCTCACGAAACGCAGAGAAATCACTAAAACCTTGTGTCTGGGTTACAGTCTTCGGCTTCGCGTGTTTCTGGACCACATTTCTGCGTGGAGATGAGGTTCTCTACGTTGTGGCACACGCAAAGAAAATGCGTACGGATCTGCTGCGGACTAGTCGTATCATTCGAATTAGTGAGAAGACTGCCAAGTTTGAAACGGGGCATTCTCAAGTACGTACATTCCACTTGATTTCTTTGTGTGAGCGTAGAGCAGAACAGGTTTCTCATCCATTATGGGAACACGAAGATTGATAGTGGGATTCTTTGCCTTCCGTTCCCGTAGCATAGAGCCAAACATCTCTACTGTAGTATCAGCCTGAGCCTTGGCAAGCCGGATTCTAGCCCAGGATATTAATTGTTATGGTTTAGTTTGAACTTTGAACATGTGCTCACTATACTATTGAGACAGTGGACTTTGCTTTAGACTTTTAAGTCCTGCTTTCTGAGTTAAGCATGGGGGGGGGGGGGGGGTTGGCTGGTGAGAATTGGGGCTGATCAGGGGTGCTAAGTTCTCTCAGCAATATTTGTGTCAGTGGCCGCCAGGCTTGGGCAATGCCGTGGCTCTCACATTTTCACCTTGGATTTTGCTGAGGACACTTGGACTAATTGAACACAGTTAGGGCATAGGGCAATATGCGACGGTAGCATAGTGTAGAGCACATACTCCAGCATTACTTGAGTGTTTACACCCTGCTGCTGTTACTGCTGTTGCTGCTGTTGCGGTCACTGCTGCTGTTGCTGTTACTGCTGTCACTGCTGCTGTTGCCATACCCTTGTCTATGTAGAATGAAATAATTGTGAGGGCACCTCTTGGCATATCTTGCAGAGTTGGGACTGCTTGTTGGCTGTAAGATGACAATGTATACGCTGAAGTCGCTTCATGGGTAGACAAGGGGCGGAAATTAGAGAGGAGGCGTATCAACGGTCCTTTACGCTAGTAGTCATAGCAGGAGAGCATGGTAGACAAATGCCTCAACGTGGATGTATAATAGCCTCGCTTTCATTATTGAGCTTTCTCTCTCCGCTCCTCTCTCTCTCTCTCTCTCTCTCTCTCTCTCTCTCTCTCTCTCTCTCTCTCTCTCTCTCTCTCTCTCTCTCTCTCTCTCTCTCTCTCTCTCTCTCTCTCTCTCTCTCTCTCTCTCTTTCTGGACCTGGGCATGCGCTTTCTCTTGACTGCTGTAGGAATCCATGCGAAGCAGCTTCTGGAAGTGAATCTAATGAAGATACAATTGTGAGCGACACATTTCAAGGTGAATTCCGCAGCCAGATTGTTTGTAGCAAGTGCAAGAAGGCGTCGATTCGCAAAGAACCATTCTTATGCCTCAGTGTTCCGTTGCCAGGTGCCACTGAAACTCAGTTGTGTAAGTGTATGAATGCAGTGCGGTGTGCTGTGAGTAGTATGCAGTATCACGTTGTGTGCTTGAATGGGCATGCACTATTTTAACACTCGATCAGCTTTACAATTGTTACAGTAACGCCATATTGCCAGGTGTGTCTTTACCACCATATTTATCAACAGTAACGCTTGATTACATTTGACGTTGTTTGGTGTTGTTTGCTTCTGCTCGCATGGAGCTTGTAGTTTTAGTGCTAGTACTGCCTGCTATGTGAAGTATATCATAGAGGGGAGCTGTTTTGTAGTTCCTTGGATGGAAGGCTTGAAAACTGCGGGCGTTATTGGCATGTTGATACTGTTTGCACCAATGTCACATACCGTATGTATCAAACTTTCCTGAAAGAGTTTTATTGTTCCTTCACTGTAGATTCATTCCGACCATAGAGATTTTCAGCAGGCAGATGTTTAAAACAGTGAAATATACACCTGGCGTACAAGGGTATACTGCTCTCCGAGCTATATCCTGTGTTAGTTGCAGTTCGGGCCTATGTTTTTGCTGGAACTACTTTCTTTTTGCGTTGATCTGTTCACTGCTGTCTAAATGGTGGCTGTTTTATTTGTTTCTACAGCCATTGTGTGGGTGCCAATGAAGGGTTTAAAGCGTCGGTGAGTAGACCATGTGAATATGCACTATAGACAGTGTAGTGCAGTAAGTGTTCATTGTGCTCCTTGATAGCCTGAACGGTTTCTCTCTCTCTCTTACTTACTGCTATGTGTGGTTGCATGTGTGTGCATGTGTGTGCATGTGTGTGCATGTGTGTGCATGTGTGTGCATGTGTGTGCATGTGTGTGCGTGTGCGTGTGTGTGTGTGTGTGTGTGTGTGTGTGTGGTGTACCATATGATGCAGTGGTATGTGCAGCGATTTCCAATCGAGAGGTTGCGGGTTCGATTCCCGACGATCATGGTCACACACGTCTTTCTTCTCTTTCTCAGACTCCTGACTTTTCTTGCAATCTCCTGGGTGGTTACCAACAGCCAGTGTATGCCGGAGTATGTGGTTTGATGTGTGTGTGGGGGAAAAAATGAAAAGACCAAAATGTAGGGATTCCCTTGCCAGAAAAAGCCACTTCATAGCTGTGTGATGTAGACCAGGCTGAATAGTGGCGGTCAATTCTTCAGTCTTGCAAGCTGTTGAGTGGTGCAATCCCAGCACAAGCTGCTATGACTTCTGCTGTAGCATCGCTATCATAGCCTCTGGCGATGGGCGTCAAAAAGGTCAAAAGGTGTGTGTGTGTGTGTGTGTGTGTGTGTGTGTTTGTTCGTGCGTGCGCGCGCGCGTGTGTGCGTGCGTGCGTGCGTGTGTGTGTGTGTGTGTGTGTCGATTTCCAATCGAGAGGTTGCGGGTTCAATTCCCGACGATTATGGTCGCACACGTCTTTCTTCTCTTTCTCGGACTCTTCCTGACTTTTCTTTCATTCTCCTGGGTGGTTACCAACAGCCAGTGTATGCCGGAGTATGTGGTGTGGTGTGTGTGTAAAAAAATGGAAAAAATTGAAATGAAAAATAGGGATTCACTGGCCAGAAAAAGTCACTTCAAACAGCTGTGTGGTGGATACCAGGCTAAAAATAGTGGCGGTCAATTCATCAGCCTTGCAAGCTGTTGAATGGTGTAATCCCAGTACACGTTGCTATGTCTAACATAGCTGTTCGCTATCATCGCTTCCGCGATGGGCATGTCTGAGGTCTGAGGTGTGTGTGTATATGACACATGGTACGTGTGCATATGCTTGTACAGCTATCTTATCACTCTTCACAAGCGCTCTCTGATTGGTGATGTCAAGAAGAAGCTATGTGAGGTATTGGCATCAGACTTTGGAGAAGACGCAGCTGATATTGGCAAAATGGTTGCAGCACTTGTGCGCTCAGGATATGTACGAAACACCTTGGTGAGTTTCTTCAAGTCATATGCATGTATTTCAAGATTAACATTCAACTTTGGGGTATCACCGTATGGCTGTTTGATACAACCTAGAACAGGCTCAGCCAGAACACTATCTCTTATGAGCTTAAGCCTCATTGACACAAGTAAGAGTGTTTTGATTACAGCTCTGACATGCACCATGCAAGAGCTTGTATGCATGCATTGAATTTACAAATTTTGCGAAGGGCTGTGTTTGGCTGATGGAAATATGAACTGTTTTGGTTGCATTTCAGACATGAGCACTTTGCACTTTGCACTTTGCACTTTGCACTTTGCACTTTGCACTTTGATCTCACCATAATGCTTGTAAAGCATGGCGCAACTTTCTCGAGTTGAAAAAAACAAACTAGATTGGCGAATCAAAGCCCTTGTGGCCTGGCTTGATCGGAAAAGCAAAGTATGTGTGTGTGTGTGTGTGTGTGTGTGTGTGTGTGTTTGTATGTTTGTGTTTGTATGTTTGTGTGCGCATGCTTATGCCTGATGTACATGTCATTGTGTTGTTCTCTTTCCACTCCAGATTGATGGCGTTGCCATTTCCTCCATCCTGTCTTCTCAAGAGCTTTACATCTTCGAGACGAATGTACCCAACGAGTGCCCAGTTGCAGTGGATGTAGATGCGCTCACACCGCTTATATCTGGCACGAAACTGGAGTCTTCATCCTTGCTGTGGAACTTCTCACAGGATAACAAGGTTAGTGTTTATCCGGTCTGTTTTGCCTGGTGCGAGATTGCAGTGGTGTAGTTCTCAACAGTTCTCAACATTGCCTGGCGAGAGATTGCAGTGGTGTAGTGAAATAGTGTTCTCCCCCTGGCCCCCGCCACACAACAACGAAAATTCTTGATTGTATCTTCAATACTTATATTATACCAACAAATGACGAGGGCGCAGGAGGAGAGAGACAAAAAGACTAGACTGAAAACGACGACGGGAAAAGACACCCGGGAAAAGACTCAAAGAAAACAACAAAGAACAAGCAGTAAAATTGCGACGACAAATCGGGACGACCAATCAGGGACTAATGCGTACAGAACACATGACCAAGACCAAGACAACCAGACCACGGACGAATCACACATGACTCTCATTCCCAGACCAAACTAGCACTGCGCATGTACAGCATTCACTTGACAGTCACTCTCACACAGACGGAAGCAGATCCTCACACTCTGACAACGCGTAGATCTACTCTTGCATGCACCACATACCATAAACGTCACACATCACACCATACTCGCGCGTACACTTAGACCATAATTACATCAGACACTGGACTCTACCAGACAAGAACCAAATACAACAACATGCGTAAATCAGTCGAACAGAAATCCGCAACAGTAGTGTTCTCAACAGCTCTCAACATTGCCTGGCGAGGGATTGCAGTGGTGTAGTTCTCAACAGCTCTCAACATTGCCTGGTGAGAGATTGCAGTGGTGTAGTTCTCAACAGCTCTCAACATTGCCTGGCGAGAGATTGCAGTGGTGTAGTTCTCAACAGCTCTCAACATTGCCTGGCGAGAGATTGCAGTGGTGTAGTTCTCAACAGCTCTCAACATTGCCTGGCGAGAGATTGCAGTGGTGTAGTTCTCAACAGCTCTCAACATTGCCTGGTGAGAGATTGCAGTGGTGTAGTGTTCTCAACAGTTCTCAATAACTGGTCAGCTGTGTACACTGTGTGCTTGCTATGCCGAACAGATCTTGAAGAAGTCGTTGCCAGTGTCTGACACAGATTCTGGCTTCACCCAGAGTAGTGGATCATCAACAACTGAAGCTGAGAAGCCTGATTGTAAGTTCTCATGTATTGCAGTTACACTCATACATGTATCTCTCTTATGCGGGCGGTCCAGGACCGGGTACTGCCCGTAACTTTGAAATAATTATCCGTAGTAACTCAGAATCATGTACATTTTGATGGGGAAGGGCCAGATATCTGGCATATTATGTCACTATTTTCACAAAAATTAGCAAAGAGAGTAGTAATGTTTCCACTAACACTCACCCACTGGTAGACCGAGGTACCCGTAACTTGGAAGTCCGGATAAGAGAGACATGAGTGTGCTGGTGTTCGCTGCCAGTTTCCTACTACTGTAAAGTGTAAATCAACAAAATTAATGTTCCCCCTGACAAACTTGGCCGATCTTCGAATAATACTTAATCCGTGATCAATTTGGCCGTTTGGAGTTTCCAAGAAGAGATCGATGGGTAGTTGTTGTTCTCAGGTGCAATCATGTCTCGGCTCTGCCTGTGTGACAACTTTTGGCTGCCAATTTACTTTGGCCAGTTTGCATCAAGCTGCAACATTTGATTCATCACGAACATTATATTTTGTTGATCTACAGTAAATTTCTGCCTGAAACTATTTTCAATGTACATTATTCTTCCTAGCTGTTAAATGCTTGGACTAAACATTACATGTGCTGGTTGCATTGTGCAAAGTGATTGAGATAATAAAATGTCATACAATTCTCACAAAGCAATGGTACCTCACACAGCATAATATATCCAGGCTTGGGTAGAAACTACTGCTTTCGGGTTATGCGTTCTTTTTCTATCCTAAATGGTAGATTCAAATTTTCTGTACCAGGTTGGAGGCTGGTAGAAGTCGGTAGGGGTACATGATTTCCGTGTATCCATGGAAATAGAGCTGTTGTTCAACAAAACATCATCGTACATGTCAGTGATTCACTGTAGCTGTTGAAAAGGACAGTGGATATACGGCCAAATTCAATGTATGGTTGATCTACCGAAATGGGTAAATTGCATTGGTGAACTTCCACCAACTGTCTTCATTTTTCCTAAATATAAATACCCTTATAGGGTTTAGGGGCTGTCTTGCTTGAAGCAAATGAATATGTCATCACGCTAGCCCTCCATCCCTCGCCCGGGATGAAAGCAACCTCCTCAAGCAAAACATCGATACGGATTTTCCACTATACCGTGTTCCTCCTAGATGATACACCGTAGTCATGTGTTCGCATGTGCGCTCATGTGTGTGTGTGCATGTGCGCGCACGTGTGTGTGTATGTGTGTGTGTGTGTGTGTGTGTGTGTGTGTGTGTGTGTGTGTGTGTGTGTGTGTGTGTGTGTGTGTGTAGCATTATAGTAATAATGCAGATAAATGGGTACACGCGGCTGCTTCGTGCTACCACTCAAACTATGCTGCTATGATTGCTAGCGCTTTTACTGCATGCTCATGCTTTGCTGCTGACTACAGTCACGTGCACTGTACATCACGGTATCCATGTCGGTCAAACACCTTGGTGCATGCTTACATGGTACTCCATGTGTCGTGGCATTCTATGTGTCATTCAACGTGACGCTCAACGTGACATTCATTCATGCGCGACGCTCAACGTAGGCGGCATGCGTC